GAGACTAGCTAGAGCAGTGTTTCTCAACCTGTGGGTTGTGACCCAAAAGTGGGTCGCAAGAACATATGAAAGGGTTGCAAACAAACTTTAAAAATGTATCAAACTTGAAAAATGGATTCTCCTTTAAAGGAGAAAAACATGGGGAACCATGGTTTTTCCCTTGCAGGCTGGCAGCCTTCCAGCTCCCCCATGCCTCGCACACTGGGGCTAGGGACAGTACACATAAACTGGTTTAAGTGATCAGAAACTGGTTTAAACCTGTGACAGAACAAAAGCTCAGTGCACATAAACCAGTTTCAAAATGGCTGAAACTGTTTAGATAAACCTAGTTGAATGTTGTGTCAGACAACTGATTTGGGGCAAACTGGTTTATGAAACTTCTGTCCCAGACTCCCTCCTGGTTTAGGTTAAATCACAGTCCCCCAGCATCCTAGCATGCTTTCCATCCCTAGGCTGGGTTGTGCTGTCTGCTCAAGCAGAGAAGGGTTGCCAGGGGTGGGGAGAGAGGCAGGGGCTGCCCCCCCCCCCCCAAAGTAAAAACCCCCCCCCCCCCCCCCCAAGTTAAACCCACTTTCTTCCAAGTACAGAGCTGTGCTGCTGCTAAACTTAGTGCTGGCTGCAACTATGGACTACAAATCCAGGAGGGACATGGAAGCAGGAAGAGGAAGTGATAAGCAACTCTGCAAAGTCCTACTGTTGTGATTCTGGACTTCAAATCCCAGAGACCTCTGGGGCAGCAGGAAGAGGAAGCAAACACACAGTCCATGCTGGCTAAATGCCAGAGAGCTCTGCTGTAGCACCCTGGGCTTTTGGCTTGAGCCACTGCAGGCATTTCCTGAATCAAAATGTGGCTGCATTTCCTGAATCAAAGGTGTGTCCAGTTGTTTCTCAGTTGTATCTCTGCAGCTTAAACTAACCTGCAAAGACTGAATTGGTTCAACCTCAGGCCTTTTAACTATCTGTACTTAGCTTGGGGTGCAGGAGGAGTGGGTCAGGAGTGAGGGGCACTGGGTCAGGACTGGCCATTGATGTTCGCAAATGGGTCCTGGTACAAAATAGGTTGAGAACCACTGAGCTAGCACATGGTTCCCTCTCAGCTGCCTGGGGTTCTAGTGGGAGAGAAAAGTAGTAAATGGTTATTCTATTTGGTGAAATTAGCAAATATCTCTAAACACAAGGCAGGCTACTTGAGCAGAAAGATGCCATTTTATATGCCCATATTTTAGAGTACAATGTTGCATAAAGTTCAGGAACAGCCTGTCTCCCATACATACCCTGGCCTGACTATATATTCCATTCAATTTCAGCAGAGTGAAATTGAAAGGTGCAAAGGTGTAAATTGTTGCTGACCTTGGTGCTTCTGAGGCCGGAGGAATTTTGCATTCTGTGTATGTAACAAAGCCTTCCTTAAAAGAAAGCTGGAAGAAAATTTCATAACGTTAAAACTATGGTGCCCTCTGCTTCTGTGGTTTGTTACTGGTTCTATAGGATTCTTGAAGAATAAGTGCTGCATTTTTTCCCCCAACATAAACAGCCTTTTTCAGGCAAAGTAGAAATAGTTTGACCCCTTGCTGTTCTGGCGTGTTCTAAATGTTAGTATTTTTATAAAATAGAAGGCATGTGACCCTACATTCAAGCTTTGAATTATAAGCTGTGTTAGTACCTCCTGAGATGCCTGAAGAAAGAGACGCACAGTTGATGATTGAATGGTGCCTGACATTTAGCACTCTGCTGAAGTTCAGTTGCGATCAGATGAATCCAAGTCATCCCTCAAGCTGTGAAGATACACCATGCTGTTGTGTTTATTGAGAAGTAGTTTTTAATACACAGTGGCTTCTTAAAGGTAAGGGAAAGGTTTTAAATACAGTATTTTGGTGCTGTGGCAAACTGATCCTGAGAAAAAAGGACTTTGCATTTTTAAAAATAACCCAGGAAGAGAGAAGATAACTGCTGTTTTTAGAACCTAAAAGATTTTATTGTGCTCTCTCTAACCCTGTTGGATCTGTAACTGTATCCCTGAAGTTTACAAATGCAGGGTTATTTTAGCATTCCACTTACTTAACGCCTGATAAGTACTGGTTTTATAATTAGTAGAAGAGGCAAGATACATTGCTGGACCCTTCTCTGATTTATAGATATGCTGCTGATACTAGAGTGGATGTTCTGGCTGTGATCTGGTATTCCACTATGGCTTGACTTCTTGGCAGAATATTTTCCGTATCTTGGTGGTTAAAAATGTGAGCAAGAGAATAGGCTTGTTTAGCCATGCTGTTTAAACTACTGAATTCCAAAGTTCATAATACATAGTTATTTATGTTAGGGCTCAAGTTTTCTCAACTCAGAGGTTTTGTGGTTTATTGAGATATGCGTTAGATGGCTCTTGGCTTTTAAAAGCAGTTCTTTTGTTTGACCAACAGAAATATGAGTTGTTATATTTAAAACTCTTTCTTTTTAAAGTTTGTCACTCTACCTTAGGTACAGTAATTGTGATAAAAAGCAGCAGTATCATTCAGCATCGGCTTCATCTGTAACTGAAGCTGAAGTGACTACTGTGGAACACGGACTTTGAATTAATAAGGCAATTTATAGTTGATTGAATATCTTGGTTTCATTTATATGATGCCCTTCCCCAAAAAGGCTCAGGGCAGCTTAAAATACAAGGTGATAAAATAACATATAAAAGGAATAAAATATTAAAATAAGATAGAATAACAAAACATCCACTCCATGACTGTATGTGAAATAAATATAACCAATAATTAAAATGCAGAAACCTTTTCTGATGCTGAAAACAATAGGAAAATCTTATATTTGTGTGGGTGGCTCTAATTTTTGTGAGACTGACTGACTAAACTCAGTGGTGTGATTTAAAGGACCGATGGAGCAATTCCAACCTCATAAAACTTATAAACGATGCCAACCTGCCCCCTTCTCCCATATACCCCTCCCCCCAGCACAATCATCACCACAAAACCACATAGTTAGGTTCAGTTTTTATTAATTTCTGGGCTGAATTTTTTAAATTTTGAGCAACTACAATAAAACCTCATTATAACAACCCCCCTGCTTTCAACAATCTAAACATTGAAATTATTCCCTACCTCCCACCCCCATTAGGATGATGCAGTAAATTGACTAACTTTTAACAATGAATTTTTCTTTTGGTACCATGCAAGTTCATTATAATTAGTTTGTATTCTGTTTCCATTTTTAACTAAATTGAATATAAGCTTTTGAGGTAAAAAAAGTTATTGGAATCTGTAAGAGCATTCCTGGAGTGTGTGCATGGAAACTTGCTTAATTTCAGAGAGTAGGTGTTGCAACACATCAGTTACAAAAAAAATAAAATTCATTCAATGCCACTGCAATAGACTAACACCTTTTTATAAATAAAGATCTTAATAATTCTTTCCTGCTCGTTTTTAGCTATTTTAGTATGGCTTTTTAAATTTATTTTATTTTTGTGCGCTTTCTCCCCTCTCTTCCTACTCCCCTCATAAGGTGAATGTACTCATCACAATCAGTGACCAAAGTAAATTAATACTCACATGACAGGAATTGTTAAAAGGGGGAAAGAACTTTAAGGGTTTTTTTGTTTTTGGGATAGGGGGAGGGGGTTGTTGTCTTTTAGGCATTCAAGCCAACAACACAAATTCAAGCTGATTATCAGATTAAATGTTGACTGCATGCTGTTCCCTTTGACTGGTGTTGGTTGGTGTTACGGTTTCTTAGTAGGCCCAAAATGATTTTCATTTTCAGATGCCTTAAGGTTAGCACTCAAAATGAGTAGCTTGTTGAAACTGTGGATGTCAGGGTTGATCTAAACTTACCATATTTACCCAAATCGAAAGTGACTCTGAACTTAAGGGGACCCTCCAATAATAAGATTCTAGACATGGAAAATTGTCACAAATTTATACATTTTCTGTGTCTAGAATCTAATTATTGGAGGGTGGTCTTAAATTAGTCTCTGCCACTGCTGCCTA